TCTCTCTCTCTCTCTCTCTCTCTCTCTCTCTCTCTCTCTCTCTCTCTCTCTCTCTCTCTCTCTCTTGGGGCCTTTCTTTTGGTGCCTCGAATTGACGTGAAGGGGACCTTTTGTTCTCTCTCTCTCTCTCTCTCTCTCTCTCTCTCTCTCTCTCTCTTGGGGCCTTCCTTTTTTTTTTTTTTATATATATATCGTGCACAGGGCGCAACTCCCTTAGCGCGCGCACTGCGCACAGCAGACCGCACTGGGTACTGCGCAGAGCGCACGGCGCACAGTGCACCCTGCCCCGCACCGCACTGCGCACTGGTGCGCCGCAACTATGAATGATATAGATTCAGTCAGATTATTAAAAAAATAATAAAAATATTAAAATAATTTTAAACTTTAAATAACATACTTGTGAATTACCTAGGGGCAGAAAGTTCAATGATGATATCTCAAGGCCAATGTTTGAAGAAAAAAAAAGAGGAAAAGAAAGAAAAAAAGAAAAGAAAAGAAAAGAAAAGAAAAGAAAAGAAAAGAAAAGAAAAGAAAAAGAAGAAAAAAGGTTAACAAATCTCTCAAATGGAGTGTTCATCACTGATTACACCCAACGAAGTGAGTACGTTGAACACGCTACTGTCCTCACCCCAAGAGAACGACCAGTCATTATCGCTGTATTTAGACTGAAAGTTAAACCAAATACAGCTAAATGACCGGGAATTCTACTCCGGCAAAGACGGTCGGAACAATTTTATAATATCCATGAAGCAGAGTGCTTCTACCTGGTAATAGACCGGAATAGAACACCCGGTCATTATAGCTGTATTTGGTGCAGCTTTCGTTGTAGTAGATACGGAGATAATGATAAAGTTAGATAAACTGGAGTATTTCTACCGCCCAGTCATTATAGTCGTATTTGGTGCAAATGTCAGTCTAGATACAGCGATAATACATCCAGCAAAGTTCGACACGGCAGGAACTGGTCGGAACCTGGTCCCAGCAGGTAAGCACCATCTCCCTTCTCTGCAGATCTCACCAATTGCCCTGCTATGCCTCCATAGCTCAGTCTCTCCTCCTACACCTAGCTCCCACTTTAAGTCCAGCGCTTCTTTCCAGCAGCGCCATGGCCTACCAATTCCTGAAGTGAACAGTTGAATGCTTGATCACTGGTGCAGCTCTCTATTTTTATTATTTAGTGCTGAGTCAGCCTCTCTCCTCGTACGTGGTCATCATTCTCGATTCCCGACCATTCAAATCTACTAGTGATCTGCGGTGCAGAGCGGACGCCGACCTTAGTGCCTCGGGGTCTGGGTCTGGAATCATCGGACCAGAGTGCTTAGGGGCCTCGGCTCCACCACACGACATTCGAAATATTTTTTGGGCGGCCAAGTGTACTATAAACATTCGGACTGACAGAGCATTTCGGCGGAGGTATTGGGACCATTATCGTTTCTAGATACATTTATAATGTTGTCTAGTGGAGCGAGGCCGCTGTTGGTGTGAAGCCTACAGATGTGCCCAAATTATCCTGTGTGCAGAAGATCACCTAGAGCAGGCACACAAGATGAAAATAACTCCAGGGAGTCCAGCCTTAATGTGGACGAAAAGCCTCCCAGGCCTACAAATGACGTAAGGGCCTGAAAAAATATAACTGGGGGGCACAAGACTCAAGGAGCAGCCTTGGCCACCCAAAACAATGTGCTCCGGTTCCTACTACCTAGGGCCCATTTTTTTTATTTTATTTTTTTTACTGGAAAACACCCGAGGCAGTGCTAGGGGTGCTGCTGATAGGAGCGGGCGCCTCATTCTTGCCAGTTGGCCAACATGCCACAGTACTTGCATTGGATAAAGAACAAACACAGAGACTTCAAGTTTCGCGACTCGCAAGTCCGCATTTTGATTTTCATTCACGGCGACATAACCAGTTGAGGTAGACACTCAGTAAGTGGGAAGTAGAATGCTGACATTGCCCAGTTTTGCATCGTACGGAAAACTCGGACAAGACACAAGACACGATGCGCCCGAGTTTCAAGCTCAGGGAGTCAGGAGCACCTGTAAATAATGCAATCACATTATCACCCCGCCTATACCCCCCCATAACCCCCCTATACCCCCTCCTATACACCCCCTATCACATTATGTGCCTGAGAACTCTGCACTTCTCTGACGAGAAGTTGCCCTCTTCATCCGCTTGGTGAACTTTGCTGACAATTCCGATTCTCAGTCAGTTTTGCTGTGTTTCTTCTAAGTATGTGTGTGATCTCCCGATATTGTATATACTATATATGTATGGCATATGCCTGGCTGAGTCCAAGTCCAGATCGGTCAGGTAATTCTCCGGGCAGTGTTGCGTGCCTGTGTCTCAGACAGGGGGTGCAGGATTGAATCTGTCTGCAAACTATCTGGGCGGTGTTGTGTGCCTGTGTCTCAGAAAGGGGTGGACTATATAGTAGGCCTAGACTCCAGGGGTAGCAGTAGAGGGACTTATGGGAGTTTTAGTAGTCCGACCAGGGGGTGAAGTAGCAGTAGAGAGAGACTTATATTTGGCTATGGTGGACGTTCATCCGGACAAATACTCCAGCCGGAGGAGCGGCTATGGCGGTAGTGGAGAGTGACGCATGCAAGTAGTGCGTTGAACATCCATGGAAGCCATGGATGCTCTGCCATAGTTAGCAGCCATACCAAGAGAAGAGAAGGGGAGAAGTGAGCTGCAACACAGCTCTTCCAGTCTCGCAGTAAGGGGGATCAATCGGAATTGATTCTGGTTCACTCATTCATTATTTTGATGTAATTCTTTTGTTATAGCAATAATAATAATAAAAAAAGAGGTAGAGGTGATGACGAAGAAGATTGGGGGATATAAGATTGGTTCCAACTTCTTCTTCTTCTTCTTCTTCTTCTTCTTCTTCTTCTTCTTCTTCTTCTTCTTCTTCTTCTTCTTCTTCTTCTTCTTCTTCTTCTTCGAGAACTCTTTCTTCTTCTATTTGCATTGCAATGAATGGCATTGTCAGACCTTTGAGTTTTGCAACCTAAGGGGAACTGGAACATAGCAATAATCACAATGAGTAACAATCAATCAATTTGGGCAACAAAAACAGGATTGCCCCTCATGACAGAAGCCTGAAACAAAAGTGAAGAATCTTCATGACCATGAGGTAAACTCACCGTATCAAACCCAGGATGACTGCCGATGGACATGCGTCGAATGGTCAGCATGCAGGTAACAAACAATGGCACCTGCATTGTCATCCCCCCCCCCCCATCACCACGCTCCACCCATAAGCTCAATACAACTTCTCCTAGAAATATCACAGCATGACACACAGGCATGACCGATCAGGATGTGTGTGTGTGTGTGTGGGTTGGTCGGAGAGTGTGCATGTCACACACACACACACACACACACACACACACACA